ATTCCTGCTTAGTTCAGGTCTATGCTTGTGAAAATGATACAGATTTGGGATGTTCAGTTTAGCATTCAATGTATTCTTTCAATGTTTTTGAATGGCTAGGAGACTTTCAGCTCTTCTGTTACAAAGAAGCTATGATGGGCTCTTGAATGCTTTCTGCTCTGGCTGCTGTTGCTCAGTAATGTCAGGACAACACGTTCTCTTCTGAATTTTCTTTTTGTTTTTGAAACAACTTAGTTTCATGCTCCAGTTGGCATCTGAAGAATTTGTAAGCCACCAACATAAATTTTTTCAATGAAGGAGATTCTTAAAATAAACATTACTTTTGCTTTCATCATAACCTGTAAAAACAAACCAAGGAGAAAAGGGTCAGGTAATACAGCCCACTTGGAATTGGTTGAAAGGAGAAGGAAGCTAAAAGGTATGAGGAAGTTGTCAGAATCCTGGGTGAGGACGATGTTGTCTAAACGAGTCTTGAGAGTGAGCAACAAAGCAAGAGAACAGTAGATAGTGTACCTGCTAATGACATGTTTTGTTTTGTTTTCAGTGGCAACTTTTTAATTTTCATGGAGTTTTACAGTAAACTGGATTTCTCTTAGTAAGGATTAGTTGGTGAGGGGATGCAGAAAGAAGACTGCTTCCTGATGGCAATGAATAGTGATTAAAACCTTGTTACACTTTCATTTTGGCATCTGATGTTGCAGCTGTACCTATTGGAGAAGTTTTGGTGAGAAGAGGGTAGTTTATTTAGTGAGGATGTGAAATACGGGAAATAAACTGATAGAAACTACTGAAAAACATTTCAACCTCCTGAGAGTAAAAAAAAATCCAACAGTTTAAGCTTTGTAATTTTTATTATTTTGTTCCTTCTTGTTTTAACTATTTTCATGTTTTCATTATTTCATTAGCAGATCTGTATTGTTTGTTACTTCTTGCTCTTTGCTTTACAGTTTTATCAGATTTAAATGGAGAGAATGGGGCTGATCGGGAAAAGTCAGTCCTATTTTGTTGTGGGCATTAGGGTATAACTGATGATGAGCACTCATATTTGCCACTTTCAGTCAGAGTTTGGTGTAATAAATTTCTTTTACATTCTACAGCTTTTTTTTGCATTTGCAAATGAAGAAAAGTTTTCTGAAAATGGATGGATGGTGTACAATCCGATGTCTGAATACAGGAGACAAGTGAGTTATTAAAGTTGCAGTTGCCTGGTGCTTTCATATCTGACAACGTACATAGAGGAATTACTGTTTGTACATTTCTCTTATCAGCTCTTTTGTGGGAGTAGCTGGGGATGGGAAAAGATAGAAATACAACTTAGAAAAAAAGTGAAGCAAAGAAATAAAACACTGGAACCTTTAAAAAAAATTAGAACGTCACAGGAAGGTAGTCTTTGCTCTTTGAAGGAAGTTATTGGTACCTCTGACAGTGTGCCACTGTTGAGTGAGCAGGGGGCAGGGAGAATGTGCCAAATATGTAGCTACAGTGTCCTAAATATAGATTTGATTCCGTCTTTGATTTGGTCTACTTCTTCCTGAAGTGAAGGGGGGGAAAAAAAGCAGCTTATTTTAGAAACAGCATTGCTTTACAGAAGTTATCTATATGGCTGTCAATATTCTGCCTTGCTCTATAGGTGATTTTGGAAAAATGTCAATGAAAGAGGATGATATATTTAATTTTAAAATGTCTTTTAGACAATTTATTTTTGCTTTCAGTATGACTTTAAAGAAAAAAAAATAAATAGCAAACAATAAGGACTTCCTTAGATTTTTTTTTTCCCCCTTCATAGTTTTTTGGTTCAAGGTTTAGAGGCCTAAGACCCAAATAAGGTAAAATACGAACACCCACACAAACCCTGCTGTGCACATATGAAGGGCTTATCAGTCTTTCTCAATTTCCTGGCTTCTGTTTGTGAAATGCCTTACTGAGCAGACTGCAACTAAAAGGTGTCATTTCTCAAGAAGAAAGCTACCTTGAATCTTTTTTTTTTTTTTTAAACCTGAAGGTAGTATCAGGCTACCAGGAAGAAAGGTTGAGATGAGACTTCTTCCCCCTGTCTTCTCAGGACCATAGTCTCTTTTCAGCAGGCACAATGGGAAGGCAGAGCTTTGAGGGAGGAGAGAAGGCAATTTTCTTTCCTCAGTCCCACAGTTGAAAAAATACATCTACATATTTTAATCATTGTTTTGAAACTTCTCGTAAGAGCAGAACTGTGTATGTAAGAGTGTATGAGACAGCTATGCAGTTGTTTGAGGCTGTGAATCTGTCAGCAGTTTTGTGTGGTCTTGTAATCCTTTTTTCTTCTATTGTTTTGAAACAGTACTGTAGTTAGGTTAAATTGGTAGGTTGTTGCCACCATGTGGCCAAAATGTCTTGTGAAATTCAGGAACAGAATTATTATTTGCACAGCCAAAAATACATTGAAAAACTTTGTGTTACATTTTAGGGACTGCCTAATGAACGGTGGCGAGTAACTTTTATTAATGAACATTACGGACTGTGTGACACATATCCATCGCTCTTAGTAGTGCCATATAATGCAACAGATGATGATCTCAAGAAAGTTGCTGCCTTTCGGTCCCGAAATAGAATCCCGGTGAGTATTATGTGACGAAAGGTACCTTATAGTGTAGCCAGTTTTAAGTATGCATCCAAACAACTTTTTGCTGAACACGACACAGAGGATGCTTTTTTTGGAAATGGTTACAGCGAAATAGTTTTGATTGGCTGGTGTTTTTTTACTGCCTGAAACTAGTGTCTTGGCCAAGCCACATTTCCGTTTTTCCCCCACAACAATCACCTATTCCAACTTTGTTGGTTTTAACTTGACTTTTCTAGTAACAACTGCCAGCATTGCAGATTCCCTTTTCTTAATGAAGTATGAACCTTAGACTGCCATCTGTACTAGTTTGACTATTGTTGGATGCACATAAAAAGTGATAGCAAATGTTATCTTCCTGTAAGCAAACCGCATGGCATTTAAACATAGTTCCAGTGGTCAGTCCTAAAATAAGACCTTGTGCATAGTCTCTGTAGTGAATTCTTGGGCCTTTTAGTCCTTTAAATTGGGCTGTGGAATTTAAGATAAACCCGTTTGACTTTTGGGTATATTTCTGTAACTAAAATTCTTTGAGGTAAGTGAATTTTTATGTATCAGCTCTTTACAGCGCTATAGAAAATATAAGTTCTATCGCAATACAATCTGGTTTAACCAGTATTTCAATTCAGCAAACTCAGAAGAGGTGCTAGATTCTTAGCCAGTATCAGAAAGCTGCCTTGAATCTCAGTTAATTTCAAACAGATGTGAAACTCAATATGATAAATATTTATTAGATATGGTATTTACTGACAGGCTAGGCCTATAATTATAAATTTACTATATATATACACACATGAATATGTATAATACATAATGTGTATAAAATATAGATGTTGAATATATAGTGGGTACATATAGTTCTTATAACCTAGCTGTATCTTCTCTGTCATCTCAAAATTCATGACAGGGCTTTTGTATGCCTGTACAGTGAGAGACATTTTCTTGGTAGTAGTAATTTTATTCTTGTCAGGAAATAACCAATCATACTCACCCGCACACACACTGGCAGCTCTCGTTTCTAGATACACAACTGTGGGTTGTATTTCAGGAGCAAATACTTTTTGAGGATTTTTTTTTTTTTTTAACTCTGATGTTCTTTCACTCTGTAACCCACAACTTTCAGACTGGATGAGAATACTGTTTCTTAATAGTCTTCAATGGGAGAAGTTGGGAATTTTTGCCTGCTTCTTGGGGTGCTTATCTTTAATCTCTTGCACTGCAATCTGTTCCCTGGGCAGCTCACCATCTCTTGTTTGTGGTAAGTCCCTCTGGCTCAGAAGAACAGCAAAGGCAGCATGCACTCTGCTCCAGTGCCTGCTCTTTGTGAAGAGGGCTGAGGAACAAAATGTACTTTAAAGAGAAAGGGAAACATTCAAGATACTGCGGGAAGGTTCAACTTTCCTTCCTTATCCAAAAAAAGGGAAATGTTTTTGTGGAATTGGAGCATCTTAGTCACTGTTTTTACAATGAGTTCATTCTTCTGAATTGTTTCTTAGTTTCAGTAGGCATTGCTATGTTTGTTTCTGGTTTGTTTTTCAGAATTATTTGTGCACCTAAGACTTGTAGGAAAATATTAGAATACACTGGATGATATAGGGAAGTATCATTTCAATAGGAGTTAAATATGTAAGAGAATGAACTTTTTTAAAGATTATTATTATTAAATTTTGTGAGACTAAAGTGAAAACAGTTGAGATGTTTGTGGATTATCTTTTGAAGAAATAAAGTTAAGTGTTAATTTTCATATTACCTATTAAATAATGTAACTTTAAAATTTAAGTTATGTTTTTTTTAGTAGAATTTATTTCTTCTGATGTGTTTTTGATACATGACTAGGTTCTGTCATGGATTCATCCAGAGACTCAAGCTGTTATTATGCGCTGCAGTCAACCCCTTGTTGGAATGAGTGGCAAACGGAATAAAGATGATGAAAGATACCTTGATATCATCAGGGAGGCTAATGGGCAAATATCAAAACTGACCATCTATGATGCTAGGCCCAATGTCAATGCAGTCGCAAACAAGGTAAAGAGATGTTTAACAGTCTTATTTGTGAAGGAGGGTGGGGAGGAGACTTAGTTTGAAGTTTTCTGTGAGGAGGTTTTTGGGAATAGTAGTAATCATAATGTAGATAAATGTACATAATCAAATACTGAGGCTCAAGGCCATGAAAGGACATGAGTGCCTAAAGTAGGTCAATAAGCAAGGTTTCAAGACCATATGTGGATTTCCAGACACGCTTTACCCTGTCTGTTATCTATCACTCAAGATCTTAGCATGGGACTGAAGTCAGGTATGACTATCCTCTGCACTGGGAGGTAGATGTAGGCTGAGCTGTTGAGCATATCTTCTGTTGGAATAACATGCCACCCCTGTGCAAGCCACAGCTCTGCTTCATGTCCTCCGGGAAAATTTTATCCTGGAAAGGCTGTGTGCATAAAGCCAAGCTCACTGATAGGCATCCTTTGTTAGGTTCTTCCTAACCATTACGTGAACCACTTCAGACCTATCCAGGCATCCAGCAAATAAAGAGAATGTGATGAATAAGTTAATTTGGGGGTTAGCACTCTAAACAGCAGTATGGGTATGATCTTGGATACCTAGATACCTGTTCTTCCCTAGGTGCCTGTAGTTGGTAAGTGCAGTAACAGAAGTAGTGTTTCCAACTGACAAAGCGACCATTTCTTTGCTAATCTGCAATCAAAGTCTAAATGGGATCACAGAATGGCAAGGGTTGGAAGGGACCTTGGGAGATCATCTAGTCCAACCCTCCTGCTAAAGCAGGTTCTCCTAGAGCATGCTACAGAGGACTTCGTCCAGGTGGGCTTTGAATATCTCCAGAGCAGAATCATAGAACAGCCCAGGTTGGAAGGGACCGTGAAAGATCATCTGGTTCAGCCTTTCAAGAAGTAAAGGTGTCCCTGTGCCTTGATTTCCACTACCCCCTGCCCCAACCCCACTCTACTCTGGTGAGGACCAGATTGTTCAGGCATACTCAAGATAGTGCCAGCCGCAGTGTGTCAGTGCCATATCTGGCATAGAGCACAGCAGACATATGAAAAGCCTGGTTAGGGAGGGGTGGTGAAGGATGCAAGTTTAATGCTTTGTTCATATGAGAATGTACCAACTTCACTCCCTCCATGGCTAGGATAGTCCCTTACCCACTGAACTTCAAGGACAAATGAAGCGGATATGCTCTCTAGTACTTGTAGTGAAGTTGTGTGTCTGCACAGCAAAGAGCCTGAGAGAGATGTGTGCAAGAGGGTTTGACATCTTAGTGAAACAATGAGTGTGCTTATCTGGGAGAGAAGGAATTCTAGATTCTGAATAGTTTTTTGGCACAAGTGAATGCTAATTTAGTGGAATGAGTCCTCTTCAATGTTTGTGCTGAAAGGAATAGGAAATGGTAAAACTTGTTTGCCTCTAGGAGGCTTACATGTAACAAATGTTAAGTTGCCTCAGAATTCAAGAGGGACAATAACGTCAGTGTTTTGCTCTGTGCAACTTAAACACTTGCATCTGTACCTTTATGGCCCTCTTCTCTATAATAGAGAATATAATTTATTAAGCAAGAAATAATGCTTTTTTTTTTATAGTACACGTTGTTTCAGAGACTCTATCCTAGGGGCTGTTTGGCTAGTTTTTAATCTGATGGTTTGTATTTTGAGGGTCTGCCTCAATTGCTTGCAATTTACTCTATAAATTGCATTATCCTCTGCACACTGAATTTTTATGGGTGAACAAAACATGTAATCCTTCTATTTGCCTTGTGGAAGGAATGTCAATTCTTACATTAACTTAAATTTTTCCCCAGTTCTTGGACAAACTCAACTTTCACCTCATTTGTTTCAAAGATGTGTTATGGCCAAATGTTATACATACATGCTTATTGAAGTATGAAGCAGTTTTCAGCTTTTTAAAATGGTCTGTGTATTTCACCCATGTGTTTTAATTAACTCCTGATGTCTAAATATGAGATATTCAATCAGAGCAGTAAAAGCAGTAGGGTACATTTCTGGGTCTGAGGGACGGTGACGTACAGGGTGCAAGCTAGTGTTGATCAGCACTGAAAAAATTTTCTGGAACAGCTGTGAAGATCAGTATAAGCAAAATCTTGGGCTACGCTACTCATGCATTCCTGTGTTCTTTGTACATAGGTCAAGACCACAACAGGAGTTGCAGTAGCCCTGACGCTAAAATTACAATCATTCCTCACCAGGACTTCATAACACTCAAAGGAAAGAGAAAAATGCAGTCATTACTACTTTTAGTGCAGAGCCTGGCAGCTCTGAGAATACCCCCACATCTGAGGAAGGAGATAGCATAGAACAGAGATAATGTGCTACTATACAGAAATGTAGGTGGTACTAGTGGGGCAAGGCTACACCGTACTTTAGGTTGTTGTCTATTGGTGGCTGTAATGACTTATAATGGCAAAACTTATTTATCACAATTCATGGCATGGTATGTTTTTGCTGTCTGCAGGAAGTGCTGTGATTTTGCAGCTATCTTTGGAAAACCTCATCAGTGGCACTGTGTCCTAAAATATGCGTGGTTTTCCCGCTTCCTTTTGTGACCAGGCACATCCTCAGCTGTGGTGGTGATTAAATGGTTTGAGAGAGCAGCAGTAGAATAGACTTTCTCCTTATGGGGCTCTTTTAATTTTGTAACAATCTAAATACATGTGTAGTCTTCAGCAATAAAACTTAATGTTAAAAAAGTTAAGTAAACTTTAATATTATTACTAATTTACTTCTTAGAGGCAGACTCCAAGATTCTTGAACTTAATTCTTAAATGAAACGTAGCTTATTCTTAACTGAACTTTTAAATTTAATTTTACTTGGCCAAACATTTCATCATTTTTATCTATTTCAATATCAGTTCAATGTTGGTAGTAAATAACTTGGCAGTTTAAACACACGAAACTTTTTTTTGGTAGCAAGTTTGCACTGGTAAACCTGAGATTTTCTCTCTCTTGCATTAGTGGTGTAAAGAAACAAGACAAATCCTTTTGACTTAATTTCTTTCTAATTGGCACAGAAACAAATAAATGAGTAATTTTATACCCTGGAAGTGGTGATCTGGCACATTACGGGTAATTGCTGGTTTGTATAAAGTACTTTACATTTTAATTTAACCTTAAAAATCTGTCTGGGAAGTAAGTTGCTTTCGTTTGTATTCAGAATCATGAGTTTGTTTAATCCTTGGTGGGAAAAGTGAACATAAATGAAGAAAAAAGTATTGACATTGTAATGTCAGTTGGTCAAGGAAAAGGTGTTTCCACCATGAACCTCAAAAGTAATGAGGAAGGTACAGATGTCTTTTTATCATAGAATCATAGAATCACTTTTGTTGGAAAAGACCTTTGAGATATTAGAGTCCAACCTTTAAACTAACCCTGCCATCCCACAGCTAAACCATGTCCCTAAGCACCTCATCTATCCTTCTTTTAAATACCTCCAGTGATGAGGACTCTACCACCTCCTTGGGCAGCCCATTCCAGAGCCTGACAGCCCTTTCTGTGAAGAAGTTTTTCCTAATATCTAGCCTAAACCTGCCCTGGCGCAGCTTCAAACCATTCCCCCTCGTCCTATCATCTGTTACCAGGGAGAAGAGGCTGACCCCCACCTCCCTACAGCCTCCTGTCAGGCAGTTGTAGAGGACGATCAGGTCTCCCCTCAGCCTCCTCTTCTCCAGACTAAATAACCCCAGTTCCCTCAGCCGCTCCTCATATGACTTGTGTTCCAGACCCCTCCCCAGCTTTGTGGCTCTCCTCTGGACATGTTCCAGCAACGCAACATCTTTCTTGTAGTGAGGGGCCCAAAACTGAACACAGTATTCAAGGTGCGGCCTCACCAGCACTGAGTACAGGGGCACGATCACTTCCCTACTCCTACTGGTCACACTATTTCTGATACAGGCCAGGATGCCATTGGCCGCCTTGGCCACCTGGGCACACTGCTGGCTCATATTCAGCCAGCTGTCAACCAGACATTCTCAAAGCAGTCTGAGTCCTGACTGATGTGATGCTGGCCCACTGTCCCTTACCTGCCTAGTTCAACCCTATTTGAAGGTCTTCAGGCCCAACAGTACAAAGAACCTTTTAGTGTTAATCAAAAATAATTAATTTCCCTTTTAGGGTTATTCCCCTGAGGTTTTGAACGGAACTAGGCTAGCTGGAGCAACTTGAATGTCTTCCTGGCTGTGTGCTAAATACACTTTGTGCTTTTGGACACAGGAAAGCCCCCAAGTATTCTTCTCCAGCATTTGCCGCTCCAAAGCTTGTATCCGAGACTGATGTTTTAAACAAGCAACTGAAATGATATATTGCCCGAGTACAAAATAAAGTATAAATAAAATTCAGTTCCTTCTTGCTCTACTGAAAAGCTGCTACGACAGTGTATATATGGCTAAAGTTAATTTTAGATCTCTTGTTTGTAGGCGACTGGGGGAGGATATGAAGGTGAAGATGCGTATCCCAATGCAGAACTTTTCTTCTTGGACATCCATAATATTCATGTCATGCGGGAATCTTTGAAGAAGCTGAAGGACATTGTTTATCCTAATGTGGAAGAATCACACTGGTTGTCAAGTCTAGAGTCAACCCATTGGTTAGAGCATATAAAGGTAACTTTTTGCTGTTTGTCTGAAATCTGTCATATCAGACTTGCTTTCTTTGCTAGACTTTGAGATAGATCTGATGTGGAACACATCAGACTACTTGGACTACAAAACCAGCATCACTGAGTGTTGGCTTTTTACCAACAAGTCTTAGAGTATGTTCTGAGACATCGTTACTAAGCAACAGTAGGTGAAATTTTAACATTTTTGTCTGCCTCAAGTCAAATGTAAGTCAGCATTGATTGTCTTTACATGTGTGAGAACTGATTTATTTTGGTTTCTAGTGATACAGTACTACAGATAACTGTCATAGTGAAGGATTAGTAATTACTTTAGTTGTCAGTATGTATGTGACTTCTGTGAATTATGGTTTTGTAAATAAATCTTGTAAATTCATTGGTAAACTTTGTAATTTTCTTGTAGCACAAATAAAATACTTAAACTGGTAATTCACCAGTGTTCTTACTAGTTGACCTTTGAACTTTTTGCCTCAAGTACAGCTGTGCAAAAGTATTTTGAGTATTCTGTAATGTATCCTACTTAATGATAATTCAGTTTAAGTTAATATTTGGAAAATAAGCGTATTAGAAGGGTACAAGCTCCTTTTTCCAACAATTGAGATATTTCAGTAATTTAGTTCAAAGAAAGGAGCCAAATGAAATACAGAATTTTTAGAGAGTGTATCCTATGGTAAATCCTCTCTTTCTTTAAAAAAGAAGCTTATGTTCTTTGGTTTATCAAGGTTACTGTTTTCTGCCCCATTTTTTAAGAATTTGCTATGAGATGAATTAGATCTTACTAAGGGATTAGAGAACCAATCTGTTTCTCTATTTTTACACAAGAAATTTACTTGATCTCCTAGAAAATTCTTTTCCAATTAACTACACCATGCTCTTTAGGTCTTTTAATGGAAACAGTATCAATTCAGATACTGTGTAGATACAAAGAAATCAATTTATTTTTGTTAGAACGATAACACTAATCTGTGGTGTTTGGTGTCTGTTCCTCTTTGCTAGCTTGTCTTGACAGGAGCCATTCAAGTGGCAGACAAGGTATCCTCAGGAAGGAGCTCTGTGTTGGTTCACTGCAGCGATGGCTGGGACCGGACAGCGCAGCTGACATCGCTGGCCATGTTGATGCTAGACAGCTACTACAGAACAATTGAAGGCTTTGAAGTTCTGGTACAAAAAGAGTGGATAAGCTTTGGACACAAATTTGCATCGGTAAGAAGTAGAAGATAATTGCAAGGACCATGCAACATTAACATTCTGAAAAGCTTTTAATGTTAAACTACCCATTTTGTCAAGGTTTGATAATTCTTTTCATTATTTTGGAATTCTGATTTAAAATATTTCCAGGTAAATCTGAGCAGAGCTTTTGGGTTTGGACCTGTTTGTTTAATGGTTTTTTGCTATTTTTTTTCTCTGAGAACTCATATTTTGTTCTTTACACCCTTTCAAAAACACAGAATTGCTAGGGTTACTGTGGTTACTGAGCAAAGAAAATGAGAAGGCAGAAAAATTATGTCCTCCCAGACTTTTCAGAAGATCAAATAAGGTTGGGATATGAGGCTTGTCCCTCATCCTCCCTTTGGACTATTTTGAATGTCATGAGAGGCAGATAAATGAGTCCGACCAATCTCTTTTAAGTGGCGTTTTGAATGCTTCTTCCCAAATCTTCTAAACTTGTCATAATAGCTCTCAAGAGGCTGTCACTGGTAATGCTGGCTGTAGTTCTGTTCAGTTGTCTGCTGGATGCTTAGAAGGTTAAGTGGAAATCGTCTATAGCAAGTCCTTAATGTTCTACCCACGCATAATGCAAAGTCAAGGGTGTTTGTGTTAGGAGACTTTTCAGAGTCTTAGTGGAACTTCTCTTAAATTGGTAGCTAACCATTTAACCAGGAAATCTATATGAGGAACCTGGAGAACCAGAATAGGTTGCCAGGGAGAGTGTGCTGGGATATGTAAACATAAAACATAAGTTGGGAGCTTTACCACATTGTTACTTGTTGATGCTGAACCTTGTAATTCACAGTAAGAGGTTTCCACATCTTCAGTAGAAGTTATTTGCACAGACAATTTGTCCCTAGTGGAATATTCTAAAGATACTACTTAACATTGCTAAAATTGGGAAAACAGGCAATCTGGAAAAATCAAGACATGGAAAAATATACCTATGTGTGTATTGCATGCCCTTTTTACACTTGCAAGAGTGTCTCAGTCATTTAGAAATTCACATATAGCAACTCAGCATGAATCATTTCACCATTTAAGTGTGGTTGTAGGCTGCGGCAGTCTTTGATCTGACGTTCTAAAGGTGCTTTGAGGCTTAGGAGATTTGCATTTTGATTGTTGGGAGTGATATCTGCTGTAGTCCAGGTTTTTGTGTACTTACCTGTAGTCTTCTAGTAGTGATGCATGTTATAAACCTTTGAAGTATTCTGTCTTAGTACAGCCACAGGAAAACACTGGCCTGCCTTTTTATTTTCATATTTTATTCTGTATTTTAAAAAAAAATTATAGTCATGATGCAGGTAAAATTAGATTGCATAACTAGGAGATTTGTAGCCCAGTGCATATGTTATAGTTTAGCACAAAGCTTAAAAAGAGAGATCTGTGTGTCCTTCACCATTATGAATAAATTCAAATAATTTATGATTCTTTTTATTATTCATTTTAGTTTGAGTAATCAAGGGAGTTTGTTCTCTGTCAACAGGTAATGTTTTTTTCCTGTTAGTCAGGTAGGACTTTTACACCCCTTCCAGATGACTAGCTCAGTCCACTGGTTCATCTCTGGCAAAGTACTAGCAATAAGGGTGATTTAAAGAGTTTGCTTTTGCTTGAACTACCATTTTATTTTCCCAGCTTGCTCACTCAAGTAGTAATCTTTGGAAATGGTGGAAGCCACTCTCCTTTAGCCATCTGCTGTTTTCTGAGAGTGCCGTATATTTTGATTTGATGGGTTGTTTAGCTGATAGTGAAGGTAGGCCTTTTCTGGACTGTTCTGTAGAATAAAAACTGATAACACAAGCAGAAAATATTTTGCTCATTCATAATTATTTGATAGAACTGTGAGTTTTAATAGTGAGGACTAGGCACTTCAGTGCAGTTAGCGTTTCCTGAACCTCATCTCTGAAACTAGGGGTGTTGTGCCTTCCCTCAAGTGGGGAGTTGGAGAAGAGTAGGGTATTTCTTTTGTTGTCTGCATTAGAGCAAGCTTCATGTTTTCATGTTACCAGGGTTGCAATTTGGATGTTTTAATAACAAATAACTGAACGGTAGACTAGTTAATAGTTCCCCTCCCTATTTTCTATCCAATGAAACGCACAATAAGTTTCTTTGTTGAAAAGGAATTCCCTACCCTAGCTTTTCTACCCAGACGATAAAATTGCTTCCTGTGTCGAATGTCGTTCTAATAATGCATTCTGATATAAGAAACATATATACATAGACATAATTATAGATAGAAAATACTCAGACATCCTAAACCTGCTAACCATAGCGAAGGTGGGAGGACTTCTGCTCCTTACTGGACACATGTATGACTGTTAACAGATACCATGTATTTTAAATCATGAAAGCTGGAGAGCAAGGAGGCCAATTGTTTGTCTTCCCTATAGTGCTTTTCTAGTCATTTGCTACTGTTGACTGAGTTCAGCTACAATCCCTCATCTTCCTCTATTTCCTGCGATTCAATTCTATTATTTTAAACTATCTTGGAAATCATTGTACAGAGTAGTGTACTGGTTTTATCATTTTTCACGTCCTTAAGACATTAAGCCTGCTATCTTACAGGCAGATAGGCAACATCTTAGTTCAACATACATGCTCGTCTTTTGTCTTCTCCAGGCAAATATATTCAAGCAGAGTTACGGAGTTAATAGAATCTCTTTTCCCTGAATCTCTTATCTGTTCTCAGCCATCGAATGTGAGAAGGAAGGAAGCAGCTCTTACCAAACCTACTTTTTATTTGTGGGGAGAATTCCTTTGATTGTTACTTTGGACTCCTCAGAATAAGTGGCTCACCAAACTTTAAAAATGTGTGTTCATTTTCTGTCGAGAACATGAATGTTTCTTTGAGCTTGCTCATGTTCGCTGTCTACCTCAGGGTGAAACTTTAGGTTCAGGTGTGGAGGGGGAAGAGGAGAATCTGTGTGGATAGTTTGATAATCTAAGTGCTCCAGTGGCTTAAATTACAAAAGAAGACAAGGTATATAACTTGGCTTTTGACAAACTGTTATTACTTAAATATAGTTCAAAATACATCTTGATTATTTGCAAAATAATGGATGCTTTAACGGTTCTGCTTGTCCAGTAACTAGCACGTTTTTATAACAGGACCAATTATTGCCTTGGAATTTTTCTCTGACAACTTTGGAACAGCTTTGCAGTATTTTGTATATCTGAATCTCTCCTCCTTAGGTCAGTAACTAATTTTGAAATCATAAGGACAGGTTTTTCTATTACAGAAGCATTAATATTCTGGTGCGAAATAAGAAACAATGTCTATTGGCCATAAAATAGACTGTTTCGGTTAACAGGAGGCTGTATTGCTTCATTTCAGAGAATAGGCCACGGTGATAAAAATCATGCTGATGCAGACAGATCACCCATATTTCTCCAGTTTATTGATTGTGTGTGGCAGATGTCTAAACAGGTATGTTATATCATGCTTCAGAAGGTAACATTGTTAAGGGAGTGCTGAATTAAAACTCTAGATCTTTATTTTTCAAAAAGGTATTTGAAGAGAACAGCATACGCTCTGCTCTGACACTGTGTTAAAAGAGTGCATTTACTTTTAAACCATACCATATCTCTACCCAATTTCTGAAAGTGGTATACAAGCTGTAGTTATGTGGCTTAATATGGCATTGGCTATGCATGCAGAGATGGTGTGTCTTGGATTTCGGCTTCTCAAAAACATACTGAGAGATGTGACCCAGCAGGATGCTTTTACAGGAATTGCATCCAACTATCATAATAGGGTCTGTTGTTTCATTTCACTGTTTTTGTGAAGCTGTCCCTTGAACTACAGGGACAAATGCTGTTGTGTCAAAGCTTGAAAAGGAAGCTTGGGAGCTGTTGAGTGCTGTGATTTAAACATTGTATTTTCAGTAAGTAATGAAACAAAGCAGCAAACTTATTCCATTTGGGGCCAAGGATTAGGAACTAAATACTTATTTTCCTGTATGGTGCTGCACTATAAAGAGTGCACTGTGGATATCTTACTCTGTCTTGCTAGTGAAAATGTATCTGTAATCATTCTGTATTTTATTCTTCTTTTTAGAAATTAAAGGCAGTTAGAACAATTTGAGAAGAGTTCTTTTCAGTGACCAGTTTGAGGAAGTTAAACACCTCATGTCATCTGTACACTTATTCTGCTATAAAAGTACATGACAATAGTCAAAATTATTTGTAGATGTATTCAGGCTTCTGAACACCACCTTCAGCCTCTGAACCAGGGCATGTGCATCTCTGCCTGCTTTTACGATGTAAAGAACAAATTTGTCTTTTCTGTTTTTAGTTTCCTACAGCCTTTGAATTCAATGAGCAGTTCTTGATAACGATCCTGGATCACTTGTACAGCTGCCGGTTTGGTACTTTCTTGTATAACAGCGAGTCTCTTAGAGAAAAAGAGGTTAGTCAAACCACTGATTGTTTATTTGTATTGCTATCTTGACTCTAGGTGACTACAAAAAGTTGTGGTTGTATTGTATTTGGTTATATTCTGTGTATGACAGTGGTTTTGAACAGGCTTTATTCTTGTTATAGAATAGTTGCATGGTAAATTCCTTGGTTTTGGTAGCTTAAAGTCACTAAAATACTTGTCAAGCACTGGTTTTGGAATATTTCTAATGCAGTAACTTATTATCCTTCTAAGTAAATCAGAAGTGCATTAATTTTAGAATGTAACCATGGCTTCTATGATGGATTTCCTAATTTTCTGCAAATATTTACTGCTCTTATTTCAATTTCGTTTTAGAAAGTGACTGAGAAAACATTATCATTATGGTCTTTGATAAACAGTGAAAAATCTAAATACACCAATCCTTTTTATACTAAAGAGCTAAATCGAGCGCTCTATCCAGTAGCCAGTATGCGTCATTTAGAGCTCTGGGTCAATTACTACATCAGGTGGAACCCAAGAATTCGGCAACAAGTAAGTAAATTCTCCATAATGTACAAAATGCTTTTATTTGGAAATAGGATCTTGTGTCATAACTGAATTGTAGAGTAGTGCCTGTAATCTGTTCAGGTTTTTAATATTACATTTGTAAAGATGAAGAAAATAGGTGAGAATGATTATTCAGTTCTTTTTTTTTTTTTTTTTTTTTTTTTTGACTCAGCTCTTCTCAGAACACTAAGCTTTATTTCACTTCCTAGTATCAAGTCATCCTCAAGCTCTTTCTAGGCCCTTTTCTTAGGGACAGGGCTGGGGGAGCATTTTTAAAGGGCATTTGATGCCTCTAAAGGGTGAGTGACAATGCTTAGAAATAGGGCTTACTGATCCCTGAAGAGTTAGGGCATTAGCATCACAAACAGGCTGAGTTGCATTTGCTTAGTCTTTCTCCTTTTTCTGAGAGACTGTATGAAGTCTTTTATAAATTAAGATGACCTATTCAGTCCTTTCTCTTTCAAAACTGCCATCTGTATTGATGGCTTATGGTAAGATTTTTTTTTGGTTTATGTAACTCTGATGACCCAACGTTGTTTACACAGGGATGAAAGCTGTTATTGAAAATTATACAAGTGGATTAGATTGGGAGCCCAGAAAAGCTTTTATCAAATTACACATAGTTCAGTTCTGTGCTTTTAATGTTTAATATATGGACACTCAGTGTTTGTTACAATCTTGCTAGAAATCTTAGCAATGTGGCATGTAAAGATTATGTACAGCGACTGTCATTCTTAACAAGTTGTGGAGTTTTGAGTAGGAGAAAATGCAGGAGCCAATTTCCTTCACAGAAGCAGTCTTCACAGTCCAGCCCCTGGAATGAATCGGGAGTTTTCAAGCAATGCACTTCCTTTTCTGCAGCTGATCTCCTATATTATTTACAGTGCTTTAGAGGTTGCAAGAAAGCCAGACAGTTTGCTGTATTTTCTTACAAATATGTTGCCAGTTTTAACTGGAAGTTCCAGTTTTAAGGCTTTTTTGTTGCTTGCTGTGAAAGATGAGGACATTTTGCAAAAGGTGAATCCAAAGATTTATTTTAGAAAGTGAAGGATTATAGGGCATGCAAATTAGCTGTAAATCTACTTAAAAATGCACTTTGCCATTATTCAGGAAAGGTTTTTGGCAGGAGTTTCTTATTAGAAGTGCAAACCCATGTGATATTCTTCTATGCTGCTACTACTGGTCCCTCATTTTCACCATTTTTATATATAAAATGCAACAGTTTTGTTTTGCTGCACACAAAACTTATGCTTCATCTTCACTTAAGCAACTCAGTAGTGGACATGTGGCCTGAACCAGTTTTTCGATGACCTTTCTTAGTGCCATTACTCAGAAGCATGTTCTGCATCAGACTTCAGTCTAATGAAGAGTCTGGTCTGTCACTAGCAACATCATTAACCCTACGTCTCTAATCACCTTAGTAACTACATTTGGTCATTGATCCACTTCCACAGTTGCTTCAACATTCCTCACAGTCTTCATCTGGGGTGTGTAGCAAGTGGTGCCTGTAAGAGTGCTGGTTCAGCTGTTTTTGAACTGGTGAGGCAGTTACGTTTGTTCCTGAAACTGTACTGAAGCTTTTAATTACAGGCAGTTAACTATGAAACAGCTGCAACTTCCTGACAGGTATATACAGCTGGAGGTAACTTCAGGCTCTCTGTCTGCCTTGGACATTTGTAATACTACTTTTCCATTTGTTTCCTTACTCTATCTTAAAAAGGAAGCTAAGCTTAAAATGAAAACAGTTAAGATGCTCCTTTTGTGAATAATCGCCTGAAAGCTAGGGCAGCTGATTTTGAACACATTCAGGTTTACTTACAGAATTAACTAATAAAGTTTGCATTTATTTCACTTGTTCATTTACATAAGAGTTGCAAATTTGCTATTAAAAACTGAAGTAAATTTCATCAGTAAGGGAATTTATTTACTCTGAAGGGCAGGGATTTCATCTTAATCTGATCAGTAGTCAGTCTGGCTAAACACTGTTTTTAAGGATGATGAGACATCTGACATCTGGAATCTAAAAACTTTTAGTAAGTCAAGAAGAGAAAAGCTTCGGAGAAGGTATTCGCACCTATCTTCCACACAATATTAGATAATAAGAAAATAAAATCCATGTGCTCCAGGAAGTGCTGGCTGATTTTTACTGAGGTAGGAAGAACGGTTTTGTATAAAGATTTTCTTTGGATGAGAACAACCGGAGGACTCTTGCACTATAGAAACACAGAATAAATATTTCTGCTTAGCTTCAATGTGTTACATATGTTGGAAACTACAAATACTGAGTAGTGCCAGGAAAACGCAAATTCTACAGCAGCTTAACTGTGTGGAAGTCATTGGGCTGAAGTGATAAGACTAACATAGATCTCTTTCTAGCAGCCAAATCCAGTGGAGCAGCGTTACATGGAGCTCCTTGCATTACGTGATGATTATATAAGGAGACTTGAAGAACTACAGCTCACAAATAATTCTAAGATACCCAATTCATCAGCCTCATCAGCATCTCCCTCACAAATGATGTCCCAAGTACAAACACATTTTTGAAGAAAATGCTGGCTTCATTCTATACTGTAATAGCAAGTGGTGCTTAACATAAATCTATAGCATAAAGAGGAATATTTTAATGCCTTACATTAGACTGTCCTAACACAAATTATTTTAGACTATCTTCATTTGAGGAGGACTTCGGAACAAACAAACCCAACTGTTCAATTATGTGCCTTTCAGAACCCGTGGACTGGGAATATTATTAACCAACTTCTCGTTATGGAGGGCTTTAAGAGTTATTTTGGAAAGTCTGGTACAATTGAAATTAAGTTGATTTATTGCTTTAATTTATTACATTGCAGGTCATGTTCCTGTAAGGAAATTTCATGCTCAGTCTCGCATGTCGTCAATAAACACATTAATGGCAATAGGAATATTCACATTCTGTAAAAATAGGTATGTGTGTATTCCTGTTAGGAATACATTTGTGGAGTTCATGAGATAAAAATAAATTCTATTGCAAGATTTCAGACAGAAGTGTTGAAATTTTCTGATTACCTGAGAATTACAAATTTTCCTTTTTTGAAATAAACAAAAATATGGAAGGGATTTCACTGATATGCTTCTAATTAAAAAGTTCTAATAGCTCAGTAGATATCAAAAGAAAAGAAAAATCTGGTTTTTACTGTAATTTTTTTTTTTTAAACAAATGACAATTGTACTGGATTCTGAGAAGTCCTGGCTTGGCTAATTGTTCTGCGCTAACGTGTATTACAGTTATCACTGTTGGCAGTATTGGTTCTTTGGATTACTACAGAATAAAATGGTTCTAAAGAAGGTTTATATAATTAAAAACAGACCCACAGAGGCATTGCTTAAATACCCAGCAAGAGCCATAGTATTAAAGCTCGTGTTTGTCTTCTGAAAGTAAATGTGCCTGTTTAAAGGAGCTTTTATACCAAAGTAGGCAAAAGTTTTCAGTTCTAAATACTGTTGAAAACTTGTACATTTATAGCTTACTGTTTAATTTAACTTTTGTTCAATGAATTTATTCTTAAGTATTTAAGGGACTTCAGTACACAGGATTTGCATATAGTGTGTGCACTTCCACTGAACCTTCCAGTGAGTTCTGGTTTCAAGCCTTCATTTCAGAGGCTTCTTGTAAACCTTTAAGTTGTTCCTTTCAGGTATTTTTTTAAATAGTTGCAAGCATTTCTTATGACAGCACAAACCTTGCTACTTGATATTTAATTAAAATTTTCAATACTCTCAGAAGTTTAATGCTATTCAGGCAGTCCAGGCAATACTGCAATTCAGAATCTGTAGAGGACTCTTATCTAATATTGTTATTTTAAAGGAGATATTCTGATGCTTGAGGCTTCTGTCATTGTAAATTATTGTACATGTGGTGAGTTTTGATCTGCAAGATATAATAGGATTATATATAAATTAAGTTTTGTGTAAGTATATATAATATAGTTTATTAGAAATTCTTCAAGTTTATAAAGTGTAAATATTTTGCGTATGAAAACTAAATTTAAAGCTATGGTTCCATAAAATAAGTCCAAGTTTAGAGGACATCCGAATATTTTCTAAGCAGTATTTTTTCAAAGGAATAAAAGTATGCCGCCTCTTGATTTAATTCAGTATATGCACTGAATTGCACTGTTTTTTCAGGGAAGCTCAGAGCATACCGCATGTGTGTTCTCAATACATATGATTTATATGGCTTCTTTTTGTCCTCTAAATTTCGTTCTCCCATCAATGTCCTTTGGTATGTCTTTCCCAAGTAACAACGTTGTCCCAAAATCTTGAATTGTTAAGGTAAATAAGATGCATTGCATCAGATAAATGAAGAATACTCCTCAGTTGTCCATGATGTACTTTACATTTTGAAAGCTATGCATTCTCTGGTATATTTGCCTTCTACTTACTTGTGGTTTAAAGAAAAAAAGCTATTTTTATTAGAATATTTAAAGTTTCTGTATGTGAGTTGAACGTATTGGTGACATCTCTGAGCAGCGTGGAAGAGTTCAGAAAATCTAGTAGTTTTTACTGTGTAAACACTACGCGATAACCTATTGCGTTTGGGAAAGTGTAATATAATGGAAAGGAGCTTTTTGCACTTCATTACATGTATGTCATTCTTCATATTACTAGTTTGGTCGATTCAGTCTTTGAAGCTCTCTAACACAGCTCTGTGCGGCCTTGGATTTTTTTCAGGTCAACAGATAGGATACTTGTTTTAATTCTATTTTTACATGGCAATGTTAGGCAAACATAGGGGTGTTTTTAATCCAGTACTTTCTGGAAAATACTACTTTAAAGTTGTGAATGTAGGCATACAGACTGACCAATGTTAACAGGAAACTTTTCTCCTTACCACTTGAATGCGTGGTCTGGGCTGTCGTGCTGCGGTGCACTGCGCCCACGTTCACCGTCTGTGCGGGCACCTCTGCTCCCCTGTGCACGCCCGGGGGTGCAGCAGCCGCCCCGCCAAGGGCAGTCGGTTCCCTGTTGTCACTGTCGCAGCCAAGAGCAAACATGGGGAAGCTTCTGAGGTGGTGAGTGAGAGGGTTCCAGGCAGCAGCTACAGCTGCCCTGTATCCAATACGAAGTATTGATCTCAGAATGCTATTTTTGTTTTTTCCTTTCTGTATTCTTACCTCCATGGACCCAAGAAGCTAACCTAGTTTTTGTGCTGGGCTTCAGTTACTTATTTAGAAAGTTTTTGTTGAATGCCTTCTCTATTTGCTTATGCCTTATCCGCCCCAGCATCACTGTTAGGGGTGTACCCTAGAAATGATTTGCATACTACCTCCTTTTGACGTATTTTTAAACTCTGCCTTGAGTTCAGTTTGTCTTGCAGTGAGCATTTTGTGTCGTGCTTGAGGAAAGTGTTTTACAGCTGACGAGGAATCTCCTCCTGCACTCCTTGCTGCTCCTTCCATCCGTGTCGGCCGCCCTCCTTGGATACCGCAGGACCTCTCCGGAGCTGGGTGTTACTCGTCAAGCGACTCTGGGGCAGGGGGGGAGAGCTTACCAGCCGTCTGCCATGTACGTGCGTGAAGGGGAAATAAAAAATAAAGATGTCGGTTTTAAACCCTTTGCCTCTGAGAGACGTTTTACTGGAACGCTGAAATCGACCTCTCCCAGCAGCCTGCCCGCCCGCCGCCGAGGGGGC